CAGCCCTTGCAAGAATCCCTCCCTCACCTTGGCAATGCACCTGCAGCCCCAGGGACACAGAGATGAGAGAATCCTCCCACGGGGACACCTGGGGGACACTGGGTGGTCCCCGAGCAGGGCAGGGCTGTGCCCATCCCACAGCAGCTCCCTGTGGGATGGGCACAAATTGCCCCCCAGCCACCCCACAAACCCCCCCTGCTCCTCTCCGAGGGCTGCGAGCGTCCCGAGGTGCAAATCCAAGAAAAAAAATCACAGAAAAAAAGGGAGAAAAACCCGAAGTCACATCCAGGAGATTGCTCCTCCTGAAACCTGCCGTGCTCCCTGCATCCTTCTGCTGCTCCTGCATCCTTCAGTGCCTTCTCCTGCATCCTTCTCCTGTTTGTTCCTGCATCCTTCCCATCCCAGCACCTCCATCATTCCTGTCCCCGCTCCCCAGCCCTTCCCATCCCAGCTCCCCAATCCTTCTCCTGTTCCTGCATCCTTCCCATGTTTTCCCCTTCCATCCTTCCCATCCCAGCCCCTCCACCCTTCCTGTGCCACAGGTGCCCAATTCCTGCCCACTCTGTGCCCATCCCTGTCCCCTCCCCAGGGCAGGTTCCAGAGCCAGCCCAGCAATCCAGGGTAGGGCCCAGGCTTGGCTGTGAACAATTCCCGGAGGGGATCGAGCTCTGCCTCCTCCCCGTGCTGTTTTCACATGCAAATCAGCCCCGGCCCTCCCTGTCCCCTGCAGCCACCGCGGGGCCGCTTTCAGGGGCAGCTTTTGTGTCCCCAGCCCCAGCACGGCCACGCTGGCTCCTGATCCTGCCGGGAAACCCCAACACCAGGAATCTGGGATGGGATCTGACACTCCCAGGGTCCCTCTGCCCTGCTGTGACCCCAGTGGGGTCCGTCGGTGTCCCTGTGCCCAGAGCTGCCACCCCTCTGGTGACAGTGACAGCAGGGACACCCCAGGTGCCACCTGCTCCCTTGGCCAGCCAGGGACACTTTGGGAATGAGGGGCCAGGAAGGAGAACCCAGCAAGAGATGGCCAAGCAAAAAAGGCCAGAAAAGCAAAAAATAAAAAGAGCAAAAAGGCAAAACAAAACCAAAACGAAACAAAAAAAACCCAACAAAAAAACCCCAAACAAACAACAACAAAAAAAGGCCAAAATGGCCATAAAAGCCAAAATAGGCATAGAAGCAAAAAAAAAAAAAAAAAAGGCCATAAAAGCAAAAAAGAAAAAGGATCTAAAAGTCACCTTGTGCTCCTGACCTGCCAGGAGTATATATTCTATATATTCTATTATATATAGAATATATATAATAAAACATAAAGAATATTATCTTTTCTATATCATATAATATATAGAACATTATAGATATATAATATTATTATATATCTACAATATATATATTATCTCTAATATATATTATATATCTACAATATATATATTATCTCTAATATATAGTATATATCTATATAATATATAATATACTATTATATATTATATATATGTTCTATATAAAATAGAATATATATATTCTATTATATAGAGAATATATATAGAATATATATATAGAATATATATGCTGCTCTATGGGAGCAGCAGCCTGAGCTTGAGCTTAAATTCCTTCCCGTTTCTCCCAGCTCCCAAAAAACCCGATCTGCTGCTCGGGGAGATGATTGACAGCTGTCAGTCACGCCCTCCGAGGCGCAGCTCCTGCTGTTGCCAGGCTGATTCCCCACCTGGCTGCCTTCCCGCTAATCCTGTTTGGCAGGGAGCTAATTGGGATTTATCTGACAGCACCCAGAGCCTGCCGAGCGCTCAGCGCTTCCTCCCCGAGGCCAGCAGGAGGAGGAGGAGGAGGAGGAGGAGGGAGCCTGCGAAAGGCGCTCGCTCCTTCTCCCTTTCCCCATCGCCTCCCGCATTTTCCCCCGGCTAATTACCGGAGAGAGGAGCTGGGCGAGGAGGGGGGAAAGCGGGGATTTTAATTATTTCATTTAACACTTGGCAGGACCCAGCTTGACTCCCCGCTGAGCAGCGCCTGGAAATAAAGAGCTTTTAGAGGAATAAAGAGCTTTTAGAGGAATAAAGAGCTTTTAAAGGAATAAAGAGCTTTTAGAGGCTCTCGGCGGGAGAGGAGCGAGCGGGGGCGGGAGACGGGGCTGGCGTGTGCGGGGAGGGGTGGGGCCGGTAATTCACACCATTCCCAGGAAACATTCCCAAAACGCGCTCCCAATAAACGCCGCCGCTCCCAGAGCGCTGGGTAAGCGCTGCCTCTCCAGAAAAAGGGAATTTTCCCCATGAAACATTCCCAAAACACATTCCCGATAAACGCTGCCTCGTCTGAAAAACGGGATTTTCCCCATGGAACATTCCAAATAAACGGTGCCCCTCCTGGAGTGCTGGATAAACGCTGCCCCTTCTGAAAAAAGGGAATTTTCCCCATGAAACATTCCCAAAACACATTTCCGATAAACGCTGCCCCTCCTGGAGTGCTGGATAAACGCTGCCCCTTCTGAAAAAGGGAATTTTTCCCCCACTGAAGAACTTTGTCCAAGCAAATCCAAGACTGCGCCACACGGGTGGGCTCAGGGATGGAAAATCCCTGGAAAAGGGAGGAAGAAGCTCCCGAATGGATCCAGGTGCTCCTCTCCCAGCCCAGCAGAGCCCTCCCTGCTCTCCCTGTGCTGTCACAGCCCTGTCCCCAGTGGGACCCCACGAACCCCCCCAGCATCGGGGCTGCCTCGCCCCTAAACCCAGAGAAATCGCACGGAGTTCACACACAGAGCTCGGAGGGTCCGGAAGGACAAAACGCCGTCCCAGAGGGAACCTGGGGAAGCACCTCGAGCCAAAGGCACACAATTCCTGCAATTCCTGCTGTTCCAGGGGCTCGGAGCATCCCCTCACCCCAGCCCTCCCCAAGCCGAGCTCACACGGAGCCAGGACCCCGTTCCCGGCTGGAACCGCAGCTCCAGAGGCTTTTCCTGAGCAAGGCAGCAAATCTGGGATGTCACAGCCTCGGCAGGGACAGCGGGAGAGGCGCTGGGGACAGCGGCCAGGGGAGGGGCAGGGCAGGGATGGGGACAATGCCCCGAGCGTGTCCCCTGTGCCCAACAGCAGCCGGGGGAGAGGCAGGGCAGGGATGGGGACAATGCCCCGAGCGTGTCCCCTGTGCCCAACAGCAGCCAGGACAGAGCAGGGCGGTGCCGGGGACACCTCCCGATGCTGCCGTCCCCTGTCCCCTGTCCCGCCGCGATGCTCGGAGAGCGGAGCCCGGCACCGCCCGGAGGGGAAACTGCGCTCCTGAGCGGGCCCGCACCGCCACCTGCTGCCCTTACCGAGCCTGTCCTGACCTTACCGAGCCTGTCCTGGCTTTACCGAGCCTGTCCTGGCTTTACCGAGCCTGTCCTGGCTTTACCGAGCCTGTCCTGCTGCCCTTAGCGAGCCTGTCCTGACTTTACCGAGCCTCTCCTGCTGCCCTTAGCGAGCCTGTCCTGACCTTAGCGAGCCTGTCCTGACCTTACCGAGCCTGTCCTGACCTTACCGAGCCTGTCCTGACCTTACCGAGCCTCTCCTGCTGCCCTGACCGAGCCTCTCCTGCCCTGACCGAGCCTCTCCTGCCCCGACCCAGCCTCTCCTGCCCTGCCCGAGCCCGTCCCGCCTCCAGGAGCTCCAGAAGGAGCGGGGCATAGCCCGGAGCAGCTCCAGAGACCCGCGCACAGGAGGGGACACACAGGGGACGCACAGGGGACGCACGGGACCCTTCCATCAGTTGCCCGTCGCACCCGGAGGGGTTCGAGGGCTGCATGGAGCACAGCCAGGGCACTGCCAGCACCCCAGCCCCTTTTCCAGCGGCTCCGGGAGAGGCAGGAGCAGCCAGCCCCGGCCCCAGCCGCAGCCCTGGCACAGGAACGCCTCGGGAAGCACCCGGGATCCGCGGGGAGCAGCAGCCAGCAGAGGATGCTGTGGGCTCGGGAACCGTCCCCGGGCTCCTCCCGCAGCCGCCCCGGGCTCGGTGTCCCCGTGTCCCCCCCGGGCAGCGGGGCTCGTTCCCAGCCCAGCCCTCGGGATCGCTCCCGCCGGGATCAGGGAGGAAACGCGGCTTTATCCAGCTCCCCCCGCAGCTGGGGCTGCTTCCATCCCCTGGCAACGAGGGGCAGCTGAGCTGGCACAGCCTCGTCCCACCCCACACCACCCCAAAATCTGCTTTGGGCTGGCAGTGATCCCAAAAATCCTGGGGTGAGCAGAGAAGGGAAGAGGAGCAGCTCTAGCCCCAAATTTGGGGCAGTCCTGGTTCAATCCCTTCTCCTCAGCTCCTTTGGCACCCAAGGGCAGAGCTGGCACAGCTTTGTCCCACCCCACTCCAAAAAATGATCCCAAAGTTCTGGGGTGAGCACAGAAGTAGGAAGAGGAGCAGTTCCAGCCCCAAACCTGGGGCACCCCTGTTTCAAAACCTTCTCAGCTCCTTTGGCAGCCAAACCTTGTCCAGCCTGGCCCTGGGCACTTCCAGGGATGTGCCAGCTCCTCTGGGCACCAGTGCCAGCGTTTACCACACTCACTGTTAAATTTATTCTATTCATTCTATCGAATCTAAACCCCCCCTCCTCCAGCTTAAACACATCCCTGCTTCTCTTTCCTTTTCCCTAAAATTTCCCAAGGAATTCCTGCACACCTGGAGCTCCCCAGCTCAGCCAGAATTCCCTGGATCTGAGCAATGCCCCAACCCCCCCACCCTGAGCAGCCCAGTGCTCCCAGTTTGCCCCAGTGCCAGCCCAGAGAGCCCTGCCCGCCCTCCCAGGCCGCTGGTGGAGGTGAGAGGCTGAGGATGGAGAGGAAGATGAGGCGAGCACGAGGATGGAGAGGAAGATGGAGACGAGGTGAGGAGCTCCCATTGCTCCAGCACATCCCAAGGGATGAGGATGACAGGGACTAAGCCAGCCAGGCTGATGGTGGATGGAGAAAATGGCAATTTTGGGGTTTTTTGGGTTTTTTTGGTGTGACAGCCCCACCACTTACCGGCCAGAAGCTTCCTATGTTCTTTAGAAAGCAGAGGAGGAGAAAAAGGAGAGAAGAAATCAGGTTAGAAGCAGGAAAAACAGGAGCAGCCCCCAAGCTTTCCTCCTCCCCAAGCCCCCTCTGCCACCTGCTAGGGAGGAACTGTCCCCAGGGGGACAAGGAGGGGACAGCAGGGAAATGTCCCACAGCTCATGGGAGCTGTGGTGGCATCTCAGGGGACACCAGGGGGACAGGGAGCGGACAGCAGGGCTGGCTGCTGGGGGTTTTGGGGACATTCCTGTTTGCTGGGGGATGTCAGCTCTGTCTGTCACCTCGGGGACAGTGGCACAGTGCCCGGTGCCACATCAGGGCCACGCGCCAGGAGCTGTGCCTGGCACAGGAGCTGCTGCCACCACCCCTGGCACTCCCTGGTGTCCCCTGGCACGCCACCACACCCCTGAGGGCAGCCCGGATGTGCCCGGGACAGGTGACAGGGGACAGGTGACACGGGACAGGTGACACAGGACAGGTGACACAGGACAATGACACGGGACAGGTGACACGGGACACGGGCCCAAGGCCAGCAGGGAGGAGCAGTGCCAGGGGCACACAGCCCCATTCCTGGGCATTCCCAAACTCCCCCAGCCCCGTCCCCCTGGGCTGCGGTGGCCCCAGGGCTCGGTGCTGGTGACAAAGCGTCAGTGCCACCTCCCCTCAGTGCCACCTCCCGGTGTGAGCAGCTGGGAATGTCCTCCCCGGGATCCAGGGGAGTCAGGGCAGGGGGGAGACGGAGCTGCCTGGCCAGGAGCCCCCAGAGCTTCCCCAGGGAATGGGAACTGCAGCTCTGAGCACCGGGAGGGGACGGGAGGGACAAACCCCAAACCTGCCCTCAGGGTGGGAGAGCACCCGGAGAGAGGGGGAGATGGGGAAATGGGGAAAAGGGTCAGGAGAGCTGCTGGGGCTGCCTCAGGGCAGGGAACGCGGCCCCACAAGGGTTAAAAGGGCCTTGGGTGCCCCTCGGCCATGCTGGACACTTGACCACGAGCCAAGGGTCACTCCTGGGGCCACCAGACCATTCCTGGGCTCAGCCACAGCCACCCACAGCTCCAGACAGACATCCCAGCCCCTTCCCACACAATTCCTGCCCTCCCCACGGCCCCTGTCCCCTGGGAGACCCCACAGCCACACTGGACACTTGACCACAAGCCAGACTGGACACTTGACCCCAAGGATGACTCCAGACAATTCCTGTGCTCGGCCACGTCCACCCAGAGCTCCAGACAGACATCCCAACCCCTTCCCACACAATTCCCATCCAGAGCACCCCCAGCCCAGCAGGGCTCCCACATCCCCCTCTGATTTCCAGAACAAGAGTGCCATTGAGCCCAGCCTGCCTCTCCTTTCAACCCCTGCAAAATTCCCCTGGAGTTTCGATTTTCCCCTGCTGGAGCTGCAGCTCCGTGGGGCAGCTGTGAACACCGAGGAGAGAGGCAGAGAAGTTTGTTTTGGCCCAGGTTAAATAAATCCAAACCTGAAAGGAGGGCGGGAGGCCCTGTGCCAAGGCCAGGGGGAAGTTTCCTGTCGCAGACATCTTTTATGGAAAATCCTTTCCTTAGGATTTTCCCTCCTGAGAAGCTGAGAGGCCTCAGGAACAAAATGCAAACAATGGTTATCTGCTGCTGTGGAATGCAACAGGTGGAGCTGGGATTGGGCTCATGTGGATGTTTCTAATCAATGGCCAATCACAGCCCAGCTGGCTCGGACAGAGAGCTGAGCCATAAAACTTTGTTATCATTCTTTGCTATTCTATTCTTAGCCAGCCTTCTGGTGAAACCCTTTCTTCTATTCTTTTGGTATAGTTTTAATGTAATATATATCATAAAATAATAAATCAGCCTTGTGAACCATGGAGTCAGATCCTCGTCTGTTCCCCACCCCAAGAACCCCTGTGAGCACCGTCACAGCCTCCCTGGGCACAGGGAGCAGCCCTGGGGAGCGGGGCACGAGGGTGCTGGGCCATGGATGGGGCACAAAGCCCTTCCCCGCCCGTCCCTTCCCTCCCGAGGCACCCAGGACGTGCCTTTGACTCAGTGGCACTGCTGGGAAGCCACGTGTGGCCTGGCCGAGCCAGCCTGGGGCTGCTCCTGAGTCACTGCCGGGGGCAAAGCTCAGCCGGGCAAAGCTGCTCTGGGAAAGCCTGCACGGAGATGCCAGCCTGGAGAGGAGGCTCTGGAAGCGGCCTCAGCCCAGCCACGGGCAGGGCACGGTGACTGTCATGGTGACTGTCACGGTGACTGTCACGGTGACTGTCATGGTGACTGTCATGGTGACTCTCACGGTCACTGTCATGGTGACTGTCATGGTGACTGTCATGGTTACTGTCACGGTGACTGTCACGGTGACTCTCATGGTGACTCTCATGGTGACTGTCATGGTGACTGTCACGGTGACTGTCACGGTGACTGTCATGGTGACTCTCATGGTTACTGTCATGGTGACTGTCATGGTGACTCTCATGGTGACTCTCACGGTGACTCTCACGGTGACTCTCATGGTGACTGTCATGGTGACTGTCATGGTGACTCTCATGGGATTGGGCAGCTGGCAGCACCCAGAGCCAGCACAAGGGGCTGGGAAGGTCAGGACACCTCCAGCCACCGCTCTGGATTTGGAGCAGCCGCCTGATACTGACACTTCATAGGTGTTGATGATTATTCCTCTACATTTCCATCTGCTGATGAGGCTCTAACTCTTCCCGTACATTCATTACAATCGACTTCCAATCCTTAGAATCTGGTTTAACTCCAGAGAAGAGTAATAAATGCAATCTTATTCATACTAATCCTATGGCTAACCCTAAGCATCCTCCTGACTTCACTAAACTCTCGACTCGCCCAAATAACCCCTGACTCAGAAAAACCATCCCCATACGAGTGCAGATCCAACCCCTGGGATCTGCTCGACTCCTCCTCTCAATCTGCTTCTTCCTGGTAGCCATTCTCCTCCTCCTCCTCCTGGACGTGGAAATCTCCCTACTCCGAATGATGCCCAGGAGGGGAAGCAGCTGCTGCCTCCAGGGAATGGCATTGGGCACCTGGCAGTGCCCGGAGCCAGCACAAGGGGCTGCCAAAAAACCAGGACAGGCACAAACAGCTCCAGCAGCTTCATCTCGCAATCCCTCTGAGGGTTCCTCCCTTTCCCTCGAGCCTGGCAAGGGATTGAGGAATTTTCTGAAGTCTGAGGGCACGCTTTTGTTAATTAGGCACTAATTAGGCACGTTACAGCACATCAGCACCAAACACCGACCCTGCCTCTCTGCAGAGCTGGGATTTTGGGATTGGGAGACGAGATTTTGGGACTGGGAGATGGGATGGGAACTCAGGACCAGCCCCAGAACCGGGATGGGAGCTCAGGAGCAGCCCCAGAGCCGGGATGGGAGCTCAGGAACATCCCCAGAACCAGGATGGGAGCTCAGGAACATCCCCAGAGCCGGGACGGGAGCTCAGGAACATCCCCAGCACCAGAATGGGAGCTCAGGAACATCCCCAGAGCCACATCAGGACAGGGGGAGAGGAAGAGGCCGGCACTGCCCCACCTTCCTCCCTTCCCCAGCTCTGCAAGTCCCCGAAAGGCTGCCAGGATTGAAACCAGATGTGTAGGAAGTGTCTCATTAGCAGTAATTGCTTCGGGAGGATTTGAGGTTTCCCCTCTCTGCCACCACCACCAAAAACACTCGGAAGGAGCGGGACAAGGGGAAAAAACAACCCCTCAAGGCAGAGCTTGTGCTGCACAAACGTTTGGGGTGGAAGGCAGGGGAAGTTTATTCAGCCGGGGCTGGCAGCAGGCTGAGGGATCTGAAACCAGCCCGGCAGATTAGGCTGGAAAAACTCCGCCTAAATCCCACTTTCCTGCCTCAGCAGGGCCAAATGAGCCGTGAAATGGGCTCAGAGCTCAGGCCCTGGCACCCTCCTGGCTTCCAGAGGGGGAAAACAGGCACGGGACACGGCAGGAGCTCCATCCCAAAGTCTGGGACACTCCAGGAGCTCCCTCCCATGAGCTCTTTCCTCAGGAGCTCCATCCCAAAGTCTGGGACACTCCAGGAGCTCCCTCCCATGAGCTCTTTGCTCAGGAGCTCCTTCCCCACAGCCCAGGGCACTCCAGGGACGTGGCAGCAGCTCCAGGCATCCCTGGCCCCTGCCTGGGTTCCAGGGTTTCTCCTGGGGTCACAGGGCTGCATCCAAGCACTCAGAGCAGGCAGGTCCTGGCAGGGACCGGGCTCAGAGCAGGGGGACCCAAAGCAAGACAGGATTCGGAGTTTCCTGGGACCTGGATGGGATCCAAGCCCTTCCCAAGGCCCTGTGGCACCCAGGGCCAATCCTGCCCTGTGCTGCACAAGGTTCCCAGGCCAGGTGTGATTTTCCACCTGCTCCCTAAATCACCTCCTTGTTCTCGGGCTGAATTCCCACTGCTCCCCACGAAACCACCACAGAATCCCCAATTTACAGCACGGATCTCTCCACACCTCGCCCCACCAGCGCTGGATTTGATCCCTCCTCCCTCAGGGAGCAGAGCCACCCTGCAGTCCCCAGCTCTGGGTCCATGCCCAGCCCTGCTGAGGGGTCTGAGCACAGACAGAAAATCCCAGGAAGCAGCTCCCTGCATCCCAAACCCCACCAGAAGTGTCCCCATCTGTGTGTGGGGCTGTGCCTGTCCCTGTGTCCCCATCCTGTCCCCATCTGTGTGCAGGGCTGTGCCTGTCCCTGTGTCCCCATCCTGTCCCCATCTGTGTGCGGGGCTGTCCCTGTCCCTGTGTCCCCATCCTGTCCCCATCTGTGTGTGGGGCTGTGCCTGTCCCTCTGTCCCCATGTCCCCATCTGTGTGCAGGGCTGTGCCTGTCCCTGTGTCCCCATGTCCCCATCTGTGTGCAGGGCTGTGCCTGTCCCTGTGTCCCCATCTGTGTGCGGGGCTGTGGCTGTCCCTGTGTCACCATGTCCCCACCTGTTGTCCCCTTTGCTGGGGACACCATGCCTGCCACCAGCCCC